AACGAATCGGCTCAAACTTTTAACAGTGCTCTATGTGCTTGTGACATTCAGGCAGGGTTAAAGACTTTGTTCTGTCAGTTTCTCTCTTTAAAAAGACAAGTGCTGCAGTCTGAGAGTCTGAAGAGATGCTATCAAATCTCAATAGTACACGATGCAAGCACCACATACAACATAATATATCAAATTACATCAGACTTTGTGAAAGACACAAAGACACAAAAGTCCGGTTTTCAGAATGAGGTGTTAACACAACGTATATACAAAAGGTGAATAAATAAAGAAGCCAATAAAACTAGATCGATATATTTATGTTTCATTGTATAATTTAATTATTGCCCACATTTATTTATTTGCTGTATTTTTTGTGCATTATTTGGATGCTTATTATTCATTGAGCCTTTATTTCCATTTATGTCAGAATTTCAATTTTCAATTTCAATTTCAATTTTATTTATATAGCACCAAATCACAACAACAGTTATCTCACAGCGCTTTTCATAAAAGAGCAGGTCTAGACCGTTCTCTGTGATGAGAATCCGTCCTCTAGGAGGTTTTCACATAAAGTTACAAACTGCACCAAACTGTAGCCAAACAACTGGGTGTAGCTAAAAGGTAACGTTAGCTCTCTAAGCGTTCGACCAGCCTATAAAAAAGCCACAGTCACGTAATGTTCCTTTCTTTATAGGTTCCATATTGACGGATGAAGTAGGATGTTGTTGTGGTGGTGTCACTGATTTTTGAGCTACCGTCATCGACAACAGAACCCTTGAATGTCTGTGTTGTACCACACGTAACAGTCTTTTTCTACGCCGCTGTTATGGAGAACCAGTCCGCTAACGTTATGTGAAGCGCACATGGTTGCAGTATTATGCGCAAATGTTGGAAAGAGCAAATGCAAGTACTTATTAAGAAAATCCTGTTTTACTCAAGCAAGTCTCAAGTCTTCAAACGTGCATCGACTCGAATCAAGTCATGTGACTTGAGTCCCCCACCTCTGTTACAAAGAGTGCTAACAGAAGTATAAAGTAGTTTTGCTAATGTGTTAGGAAACAGTTGCCTGTTTATACACTACGCTGTTTACTTGCTACTTAACAGCTGATTGTTTTCTATATGCTAAATTACTGTCTACTAGTGTACATATTTTGTTGCAATATGTTAGTCTTACAGGACTTCAGTCTGTGTTGTTACTATAGATTTATTCTGTCTGAGTAAGGATTATGTCTCAGGTACATACTGTATCAGTGAAGAAGTGTGTGCATTCTCTGCACCTGGGAATTTCCTGTAAAATTGTATAAACTTCTTTTTTGTACAAGAATCATTAGAGTAAAAGTTCTCGCTGAAGAAACATCTCTTTTGACTCTCATGATAGTCTTCCCCATTCTCAGGGGTGGAACATTAAGGGGGGTGTCAGGGCTCTGAAAAATAATTTGTGTATCAGATTCAGATCCCCTCTGAAATTGAACGGGTTCTTCCTTGGTCCATGCTACATCCTTCCACCAAGTTGAAGGGTGTAAATCAGAACAGTAGTTTTCTATAATCCTGCTTCCATTTAGTTGAGCTAGTTCCAGGATCCTGACGTTGTGCATCGTGGCCACAGGGCAGGGATTACTCAGACACTTGATGAAACTGAGTCTCCATTAATGGAATTTGTTTCACCTGTGTTTTTCCTGCTATGAAATGTCTGCTGTGAAAAACGGTTATAACTTAGGAACACAACAAAACACTGTATATATATATACTGTATAAAGCACTTTTATCAACAGTGATTACAAATTATTGATTTATAATCAGTTGAGCAAATTATTGATACTGAATACTGAGTAAACATAATTCACATTGAAGTTATGACAAGGAAACTGATAAAGTGGGAGACTTGGTGATCAGTGAACTAACTTAGTGGTTCCAAACCCTTTCTGTCAGACATACCCCAGGGCCCTGATGGCTTTTAAAAGTCGACACAATACAATTTGTGAACTTCAGTTTATAAAGTTTACATTGTTAACTTATAAAGGTACAGATATGTTACTGGTGTAAAAACAGCTCTCTGTTGGTCGTCTTGTACAGACGTCAGTTTAAAGAAAGAGAAGTGAATGTCTGGTGTTGCAGAGATCTCGCCACAGTTCACAACATCACACATCAAATGTGCTAAATGTCTCACATTATAAATGTAGATGGACAGTACCTTGTACAGAGAGAAGGAAGACAATAAATCCACTCGCTGCTGCTGTTAAACTCATAGCTGCTCCTCACGTCTGTTAAATCAGCAGGTAGATCACATATATGAGAAGTCCTGTACGTCAGTTAGTCACTATAAATATCTGTAATGAAAAAGGCAGGATGTGGTCTTTGACCAGTTTGTTTCTCTGTGGTTGGTATAGTTGGTATGATAAAAGCTGCCCTGGCTTCCTTCCTCTTTACATTATTAGGATTCATCTACAGATGAAAATCTGGAAATCTCAAGTCTTCAGGATGAAATGAAAAAATGATTATTATTCTTATAATCTTTATTATTCTTCCTGTTTTTTGCATGATGCAGAAATGGTTGTGTTTGTCTCGTGCAGGAGAAGGACAAACATTAACACGTCAGCACACGAGGAAAGCATTACACATATCTGCTGCTGGTTACACACATTTCCACTGATGGACAGTTGTTGGTAGTAACTTGCAAAGCAACACAGCAATGTGCAAACATGCAGGATTTAAAATAATCAAAGGATTCTGCCATGGATCCAACATCTTGTTCATGACTCTTGTACAGTGCTACTCTAGAGCTCAATGACTAATGCATGTTGCTAAAACAGAAAGGGGAAGTGAGGTCACTCTCACTCATTCACACATATATGTATATCTATATATATCTGTAGTCATGGTACAGCACATTAACTAAAAGGCACCACTGGATGGAGTTATGTACAACACACACAAATCTATGTTGTAAAAAAAGAAAATACTCTGAATAAGAAGGATATTTTTCTTCCTTCTGACCTTTTCTTGTATCAGATGTAAGAAGGACAATGAGGTACACACCTGCTGTGTTCCCCACACTTAAATGATCCCCAGTAAGGAGACTTTAGAGACTAGCTCCTGCACACGGAGCCCTGACTCAGTGAGAAACAGAAACAACAGTCAACGTCCACAAACTCTAATAGATACACAGTGACAGTCATATTTCCAAGATGTTAAACTAAACTAGTTTTAACTGTTATATTAAGATAAGGCACACACATATTAAATGAACTGGTGGATCTTGTTTGGAAATGCAAACTGTGATATAATTATGCTGATGACACATGAGCAGAAAAACATATGCAATAAAAATATAGATTATTTATTATTATTATGGGACAAAATGTGTAACATAACGGACATGGACCGGTAACCTGCTTCTATTTTTGTGTATATTTTGGAATTGCACCTTTGATATTTTATATTATCTGTTTGCAGTCTATATATTTGCATTTATTCCTGCTTTGTATTGCAACTGCTGCACAACAATTTCCCTCCAGATAAATAAAGTTCATGCTCTTCTTGAAAACTACACAGTAAATCTCCCAAAATGTTAGTTACTTCACTGTGGTCAAGATTCAAATACTTAGTTTAAAGGTTCAGTGTGTAAGTTTTAGTGATATCTAGTGGTGAGGGTTGCAAATTGCAGTCAGCGGCTCACGGTGCATTCACATGCAAGTTGTGAAGTAGTTCTTCCAACTTCAGTGTGTTCATGTGCTCTGAAGTCTGAATGTGGAATCAACATGGATGCTACTACAAAGATGTGTTGGATTAGCATCATCAGAGCATATAAACAACACGCAGACATCTAGTTCACTCTACATGGACAGCAAACTAACCCTTATAACCATATTACAAATTACATGTTTGCAAAATATGTATAGACCAGGGCTGATCCCGAATAGTCGAAGATTCGATACTTCGATGGGAGGAGCCTGAATCGACTGTCAGTTTCACAGTCGAAGCTTCGAAAGAGCGTTATGAAATGAGGACCATACCATTTTGGTGATATGGGGGTCCTCAATTCTATTTCAGATCAGACTGAAATAGAACTACAAGTTTTCTCCCAATAAGTTAACATGCTGCCTATTACAATATACACTTCAACATATAATGCTGTAAATAAATATGTGACGCATTTTATAAATGTCTTTAAAGTGCGTGAATAAATCAAAAATTGTAACCCTAACCCTTAAGGAAGCACACATGTGTGGGCGTAATGTGTGTGTGTGTGTAGTAGCAGAGAAACACCTGCTGAATTGACGGAGCACCAGCTTCGCCGGTGTTGTGCCGAGCTGTCTGTACCTCGCAGGACGTTTGGATCATTTATCACCATTGATGAAACTTTAATTATTCATGAACGCACCATCAGTCACCTCTCCAACACGCTCTATATGCTCTTGTTCCTGGTGTCTTCTAATAAATAATAATAATAATTGGTCTATTTTGATAAATACAAAATTAATTCTGAATAATAAACACAAAGACTTTGTTTAAAGCTAAAATCCAAACCTTTCTGCACACTGTCGCCCTCTGCAGCAGTGAGAGGAAACTGAAATGATGATCAAACTGCAGAGTTGTTGTGGAAGCTGGCTGTTTATTTCAATCAGCCACTGCAACACATTGAAAATGATACAACTAGCAAAGTGTGACAGAGCTGGGCTTCTGTTTGATTTCAGTGTTTAAATATAGACTGTACATGCTGTGAAATACTTAGCTTCCAGTTCTACATGTTTGTTTTGATCAGAAGTTATTGGCTTTCATTACCAGCACAGGTGTGATGTGAAAGGACAACCAGTGTTTCTTAAAAGCAATTTATTACATTACATTATTTTATACATTTTGAAATAACATTTTGTATACTGAGTAAAATCCTGAACTTATGTAATGTACCTGCACAGGTAACAATGACGCTTACATTCTACTCTAATCTTGTGCTACATGCTGCTGCTGACGTCTACCTGCTGCTGCTAATGAAAACTAAAAAATGAAAATGTTTGCAGTTAAAGGTAAATGTATCCTCATCCTCCACAGCCCCCTGTTCTCCACTGACTACTTCAATGCTGTACTTCTCTCTGTTTCCATCCAGGTGAGTCCCTCTGGTTACAGTTTTGGTTCAAGGCTGAGGCGTTGCTACAATCAGGATCAGACTCCAACTGATGGGGAGAGAGAGAGGCAACGGCCTCATAAATGGAATTAATGGAAGTTCTGTCACTGTGGCCCATCAGATTTCTCACCTCTAATGTCTCTATGGGTTCATTTGGTTCAGTGGTGGAGCTCAGAGTTTTCTTCTTCCTAAATTGAATCCAAAAGCAAATAAATAAAAAGTCAATAACTCCTAAACTATGAAAGTCAATATTGAAAGATCAGTGATGGAACTAATTTATTCTTATAGTTTCACCTCATCCACAGACAAACCAGAAGCAGAGGAATCAGCATCACAACCACCAGAGTCAACCTGATGATATTTATTATCATTGTAGATTTACCTAGAAATGGAGATAGACAGTTATTAGATAAACTGTGCTGGACCTCATTAGTAGAGTTGATTCATGAATCAGTTTGTGATGTGTGATGCTCTTCTGTTAATCAGCCAAGTAGTGTCATGGAGAAACGTACCTGCCACAACAATCAGATGTAAGGTGGAGTTATGACGTCCTCTTCTGTTCTGGGCTTCACAGTAATAATTCCCACTGTGTTCAGCTCTCAAGTCAGTGATGGTGAAGTTCTGTCCTGATGCTTTTGGTGAGTCTTCATTCTCCTTGTACCAGGTGTATTTAGCTGCTGGGTTAGCATCACTGCTGCAGGTCAGAGTCACTGAACTGCCCTCCACTATCTCAGCAGAGGGACTCACTGACACAGAGGGAAGCTTTGGAGCATCTGGAGGAGAAAAGAGAAAACTTATCAATCTACCTGTGTTTAGGCGTGGACTGCTACGAGCTAAAAGGTGCAATACATTTAATTTTATTCATTATTCTAATGTCCTAGTGTTACTTCCTGCTTCATGAGTAAGACTCTTGTCCCCCCTACAAAGCTAGCTAGCAGGCTATAATAAACAATAATAGACCTGTACGTGAAACTTGGTCACAGGTGTCGTCTTCATGATCCTTTTCTATGAAGAAACTTGGTGTCTTCCCACATGAATACAAAATACATTCAAATTCAACTCAAAAGAGGATGAGAAGCCCTGATGATAGATGTTCCTGAGTCTTGCTCCAGCTGCTGTTTCTGTGTTCCTCCTGCTAATAATGTGTTCAACCTCTCTTCTACGTTGACAACACTGCACAGGACTGAACTGCCCTCCATGATTTTACCAGAGGGACTCACTGACACAGAGGAGGTCTTTGGAGCATCTGGAGGAGATGTGTTAGGATTATTCTAGGTTAAGGGTGTGTTATTACAGTAGCACATCTGGTATTTATTATAAACTGGGAACAGCTGTGTGCAGCATCATTTTAGGGGAGAAGGTGGTCTGATGAATGGATGTGTGACGATTTGAATCCAAAAACTGCATATAACTCTAATCTTCTCCTGCAAAGACTGGACAGATTTAAGATGTTTGCTATTTTTAAATTTTAAATCACATTTCACATTAATGATGTATTCAGATGTCCTCCTCCCCAGCTGGTTCTCAGCTGCACAGTAATACTCTCCAGAGTCAGAGGACTGGATGGAGCTGAAGACAAGCTGTGGTTCTTCACTGAGCAGTGTTTGGTTCTCCTTGTACCAGGTGTATTTAGCTGCTGGGTTAGCATCACTGCTGCAGGTCAGAGTCACTGAACTGCCCTCCACTATCTCAGCAGAGGGACTCACTGACACAGAGGGAAGCTTTGGAGCATCTGGAGAAGAGATGAACATCAATTACTTAAATATTAGAATATGTAATCAGAGACGATTGACCAGGTGCGATTCTAGCATCAGACGTTTAGGAGGGCTCAGCTCCTAATGAGAATGTGACATGCAGCCCATCAGTCTTGACTTCACTATATGTCTGTCTGTCTCTCTCTCTGTGATGACTACACCCTGCTCTCTCTCCTCTCTCTCTCTCTCTCTCTATCCTCCTCTCTCTCTCTGTACTGTCACCCAAAAGGCAACCAAGCAGAGTAGTTATAAAAAAAAATAATAGGTAGGAAGATGGGAAAGAATCCACATCAATTTCTAACATTATTCACATTGAATATTGCTGTGGACAGGTAACATCAGTCTGACCTTACTCTCTCAACACAACCAAAATAATGTGTATGTCCATCTAAAAGCAGACATTTCTTTAGACTTTCTGAGTCTTAAAGTGACTTTGCTGTAACTCTATGACCCAACAGACAACATTAATGCTGACTTTACACACATTTAAGACCCCAGACAAGTTTGCAAAAACCTAACAGTGCTTATTCTGTAAATCAGGAGGTCCCAGAACACAGAGAGGCTGCTTATGCCTGTCAGGAATAAATCTTCAGAAACTCGTAACTCCATTTTAACATTTAACAAGACTAACAATATCCATTCTGTCTCAGTCAAAAACTGTAAAATAAACTCCAGCTGAAAGCTACTGATCATGACATCATCAATAGAAGTAACAGAGCATCTCAGTAACAGAAACATTAAAACAACTAAAACATTAAATGTGGCAACAACAGATATTATACTTTAAATATTCCTGAATCACAAAAAAATCATGTAATAGGAAATAATTTGTTATGTACAACATGGATATTGCTTTTCCTTTCTCTAAATAATGATGCTGCGTCCACATTAAGATCTAGAAGACTCCAATACGTCTGAAATTGTAATTTGTATTGTAATTTCAGTGTATGTGTGCTGTTTTCCCGACACAGTGGAGTAAACTCACACACTGAAGGAGAGCGGAAATCCTCATGTCCTTTTACAGCACAGGAGATGATGTCTCCAGGATAAAACTGATCTTTATAAGAAGATGTCTCCACGCTTTCCATTTTCTGTCCATTCTTGAACCAGACGTAGGAAGAACGATCAGGAAGACGACAGCTGCTGTGACAAAGCAGCTCTGCCTCAGTATAATTCTTGTAGACTGTTGATCTGATCACCTGAACCTGGAGATCTAAATCTGTGGAGAAAAAACAGAAATGTTTGTCTTTATGTGGTGCTGAATCACAACATACACAGAGATATAAACAATAGAACATTATAACAATCATGTAATCAATTAATCAGACATAACAATTCTTTCCCATTAGGATCACTATTCAGCACACTCACTTGTCATCAGATAGTTTAAATGTGCTGTTACAGTTTGTGTTCATCAGTACCTGTGACAGTCAGAGTTGTACCAGGTAAACTACTCCTCCATTCAAAGGTATATGCTGTGAATTTGAAGTGATACTCAGCTGAGTCGCTCACTCTCAGGTCAGTGATTCTCAGAGTGGAGCGTCCTCTCTCTGTTTCAAGGACCTGAACACGACCTGCATACTGGGAGTCTTACTAAGGTCCTCAGGCTGTGAGGGATTCTGCCACTGAAGACTACGTTCAGGACTGAACCAGAATTTAGATCTGATAGTTTCATAACTGTAGTACAAACTGTAAGTACAAGAAATGTCCACTGATGAGCCTTTGAAGGCACAGATGCTTCTGTCAGTGTAAGTCACTCTGTTGCATGAATGACCGTGGCCACCTGAAAAATATAATAATATTTTTATTATTATTACAAAAACTATAGTCTTTACTGCAGTAATTCACAGCTAGTTGTATTGCTGTGGATGGGGTTGCTCATCATAAAAGATACATGAAGTCATGGTCAGTGTTGGGCAGTAACGCGTTACTGTAATATTGTTGCTTTTCCCAGTAACTAGTAGTGTAACGGATTACGATTTCCAAAACACTTTATGCAATAACTATAATATACAGTTACTAATCCTAATAACACTGCGTTACTGTGTTCCTGAACGCATCGACGTGTTCAAGTCAGCTGTTCAGCCAAGAAGCTGAAGACAGAATGAAGAAAAGGGAGAGAGGCGTTGTTCCTACAGCAGTAAGTACTCCCATTATTGTATCACAGAATAAGATGCAAAGAACATTGTCGTGCGTTGTAAACTTTGTGCGACCAGCAAAACAATTCTACATCTAATCTATTGAAGCATCAGCTGAACAGCACAGCAACATGAAACTTAGTGTATAGAAATAAACTCCGGTTGCTACTGTCAGTGATGCATCCACTCGTGGGGAGTGGCGTTAAGCAACGTTGTGTTTTGTAAAATAACTTAATAATGCTCTAATAAAGGTGTGTGCAGAAAATATAGAGTAACGTAACGAGTAACGTAACTAGTTACTTTTATCACCCAGTAATAAGTAAAGTATTACTTTTTAAGAAGTAATAAGTAACTAGTACAATTACAATTTCAGCCCAACACTGGTCATGGTACAGAACATTAGTCACATTAGTAGAAGATTGTGGAGTGAACTCACACACTGATGGAGAAGGAAATTCCTCAAGTCCTTTAAGGGCACATGAATAGCTGTCTGCAGGATAAAAGTAGTCTGAATAAGAAGATGCTTCCTTAATTTTCTGTCCATTCTTGTACCAGATGTAGGAGGTTTGATCAGGTAGACGACAACTGCTGAGACACTTAAGCTGTGACCATGTACACGTGTAAAACATGCATGAATGTGAGCTGCTCATCTGCACCCGGAAACCTGTATTTGTAAAGATATAAAACAAATATAATAACTGAACTGTCAATTTCCACGTATGATAATTGGCACACTGAGATTAACAGTAGATTAACAGCTAACTTACATGGTTTCTAACACAAATGTTACCTGTGACAGACAAAGTGACTCCAGGTGAACCAGTAAAGCTTCCACCTGGTTGGTTTGTTATGAACCTGAACTTGTACTCAGCTGAGTCGCTCTCTCTCAGGTCTGTGATTCTCAGAGTGCAGATGTTGTTAGAACAACTGTACTGCAAACGACCTGCGTACTCTGAGTCTGTTCTCAGATCCACAGGTACATCTCCATTCATCTGAGTAAACCAGAATGTTTCCTCAACTGTAGTATCACGGTCATTTATTCTGGATGGGTATGTGTAGGTGCAGCTTATTTCCACTGTTGATCCTTTTAAGGCACAGATCTGAGTAGAGGTGTAAGTCACTCCCCAGCCATTCTGAGCCTGTATCACTGTAACACAGAGCACATCAGAAACTGCAGTCAGACTCAACAACACCAGGAGACAGACTTGTGACAGGCAGATGTGTGAAGGTGGTTGTTGAAAGGTAACCTTGACCATCTGCAAAAGAATCTAATTCAATGCAGTCGCTGTCACAAAGAGTTCTTTATGATTCACCTTTAAAAGCTTGAGATCATTTAGACTTAAAACTGGCTCAACAGACCTTTTTCACAGCAGACATTTTGGCTTGTCTGTCACAATCCTGGTCTCGGTCTGTCTGTTATTTTGCCTCGTCTGCTTTGAGTTCTGATTCTTGTTTCAATATGTTTATGGCGTTGGCTTTTCCTGTCTTGTGTTAGGGGGTTTTGTTCCATGTCTTGTGTTTCCTCTGTTCAGCCTTGTTTATGTTTATTTGCATCTTCAACTTAGTTCAGTTTTTGGTTCCGTCTCATTCTGTGTTCTGGTTTTAGTTCTTCTGTGGTCAGGCTTCTGTGTCAGTTCTTTGTCTTGGTCCTCAGTTGTGTTTACTAGTTTCTTCCAGTTTTGAGTCACATGTATTTTGTGTTTTGTGTTACTCATCCTGGTCCATTGTCGTTCTGGTTTTTGTCCACTTGTCAGTCTTGTCCGTGTCCTCATCTCTTTCAGTTTTTGAGAGTTGTACGTTCAGTGTTGGTACCAAGTTACATTTTTGTCAGAGCGCTTTCTTTCCAGTCCCTTTCCTGCTTTGCTTTGAGGTTGTCTGCATCTGTTTGCATCCAGCTTGCTCCTGTCTTGTCTTGATTCATGTGTCATGTGTCTCACCTGTACATTCTCTCCCTGCTTGTTAGCCAGTGTATAAATGTTTGCCATTCCTGTTCTGCTCTTGTTGGTCCATTGTTGCTTGTTCCCTGCCTGCTCCTGTGGATATTGGATTTTAGTCTTTTGATCAGGTTGTGTTTTTTGACTCCCCCTTTGGATTCTCAGTTTGGATTACTTGTTTTATTTCGACTTGTTGGAACTCTGCCACTCCCAGTTGTGCGTACCCTTTTTGTTAATAAATCTCTAGAGCTGTTGCTGCTCTGCTTCTGTGTCCTGCATTTGGATCCTCAACCTGTACACACACTCTGCAAACCCTGACATATGAGAAAAAGTACAGGTGTAGAAGTAGAATGAAAGGGGACTGTTGTTGCTTTATTATGAAAAGACATCACATTGTTAGCCTACTGTTGTGGTTACAGTACTTTCTTTTAATTTGCTTTTTTTAAAGCAATTCTTATTTATGCACCAAAGTAAATTGCTTGCAAGTTAAAACCTGCTTGGCAATAAACCCAATTCTGATTTTATTGTTGTAGGTGATAAAGTCTTGCTGTTATCTTGGAGCACTGCAGGCAGCATCTGTTTTGCACAATAGCAACAAGAACGAATCAGCTCAAACTTTTAACAGCGCTCTATGTGCTTGTGACATTCAGGCAGGGTTAAAGACTTTGTTCTGTCAGTTTCTCTCTTTAAAAAGACAAGAGCTGCAGTCTGAGAGTCTGAAGAGATGCTATCAAATCTCAATAGTACACGATGCAAGCACCACATACAACATAATATATCAAATTACATCAGACTTTGTGAAAGACACAAAGACACAAAAGTCCGGTTTTCAGAATGAGGTGTTAACACAACGTATATACAAAAGGTGAATAAATAAAGAAGATAATTAAACTAGATAGATATATTTATGTCTCATTGTATAATTTAATTATTGCCTACATTTATTTATTTGCTGTATTTTCTGTGCATTTAATTGGATGCTTATTTATTCATTGAGCCTTTATTTCCATTTATGTCAGAATCCGTCCTCTAGGAGGTTTTCACATAAAGTTACAAACTGCACCAAACTGTAGCCAAACAACTGGGTGTAGCTAAAAGGTAACGTTAGCTCTCTAAGCGTTCGACCAGCCGATAGAAAAGCCACAGTCACGTAACGTTCCTTTCTTTATAGGTTCCATATTGACGGATGAAGTAGGATGTTGTTGTGGTGGTGTCACTGATTTTTGAGCTACCGTCATCGACAACAGAACCCTTGAATGTCTGTGTTGTACCACACGTAACAGTCTTTTTCTACGGCGCTGTTATGGAGAACCAGTCTGCTAACGTTATGTGAAGCGCACATGGTTGCAGGATTATGTGCAAATGTTGGAAAGAGCAAATGCAAGTACTTATTAAAAAAATCTGTCTCAAGTCAAAGTCGAGTCTTTGTCTGTTTTACTCAAGCAAGTCTCAAGTCTTCAAACGTGCATCGACTCGAATCAAGTCATGTGACTTGAGTCCCCCACCTCTGTTACAAAGAGTGCTAACAGAAGTATAAAGTAGTTTTACTAATGTGTTAGGAAACAGTTGCCTGTTTATACACTACGCTGTTTACTTGCTACTTAACAGCTGATTGTTTTCTATATGCTAAATTAC